CAGTTCAATGAATTAGCTGTGAGATAATGTGTACTTGGAATTTTGTGCTTTTTGTCTTTATAATTGCAACTTGACAGAAACAGACCTGGGCTTGATCTGTTTTGAAAGCAGAAGCAGGTTAGTGGCAGAATTTGTAATAGACCCCTGCAGCTTGTTCAATGTGAGATAGACCCAGCTGTTGTGTAGCGGGAGTCTTGTTTACCTCTGTGTAAAACAGCAGATTTCTCCAGTCAAGTCTGGAGCTCTGCTTTGCATAGCATAGCATAGCATTCCCGAAGCTATGCTAGTAGGTGCTGCTGCTCAGGGGCTGGCGCACTCTGCTGTCAGTGACGTCTGTCTGCTGGACTTTGGTCCTGCCCCCTCCCTCCCCAGGAGGAGTTCAGCCACCCTGTGGAGAGCCTGGCCCTCACCGTCGATGAGGTCATCAACGTGCGCAAGGTGCTGGTGAAGGCAGAGATGGAGAAGTTCCTGCAGAGTAAGGAGCTGTACAACAACCTGAGGAAAGGCAAGGTGAGGATCTGAGGCACGAGTGTGGGGGACTGGATCAGGGTTCGAGCCATACTGAGGATGGGAATATCCTGGAAGAGCCTGCTGCAGCCCGGTGTTCAAGCTGATGCTTTTGATTGGTGATAAAATGATTCACATAGCAAAGCTGCTGAAGCAATAGGAAGAAGATAATTTGTTGTTTTTGTTTAATCTTTATTCTCTACCTCTGGCAAGTCAAAGAAAACTGCACAGCTGTGCAAGTTCCCAGTCCTGGTCCTGGTGACTCACACACCTGCTGGTCTTCATTCCAGCCCACCTTCATGAGATCACTGAAGCCTTAATTGATCTAAGAAGCTGTCTCATTGGAACATTTACATTTCGTTTTGTTTTGGATTTTATTTCACTTACAAAACACACTGGCTAAAGCCCCATCGTGAGTCGTATTCTCATTAAGTCAGTGAAGGGTCTGAACGTGTGACAGCAGGTGTGTGGGTCACCAGGACCAGCACTGGGAACCACTGATGAAGAGTAAACATGGGGTGAGCAGGCCATACAGATCTCACACAGAGACCCCCCACAAAGTTCTTAGAATGAAAACACTTCAGCATGGCCACAGATATTGGGCAGAGGAAGGCTGTTGACCGCTGAGGTGTGGAGCTGTGTTGGCTCGTCAGATTGAGCTCAATGTGTTGCTCAATGTGAGTCAGTGAACACCTAATCCAATAACTGTTAACACACGAGCCTGTGAAACAGAGCACACAGCCACCGCAGCTCTCGATATGCCTTGTGCCTTTGGGGGTCTTCGGACGGGGGCCCGGACGTGCTGCGCAGTCCCTCCGTGCGCTCATGTGGAGGTGCTTGTGCCCACACAGGTGTGCTGCTGCTGCAGAGCGAAGTTCCCACTCTTCTCCTGGCCATCCACGTGTCTCTTGTGCAGAAGGTAAGTGGAACGATGTGGGAAAGCAAAGCGAGAATCGGCCAATAAACACAAACAGGTGCAGATCTCTAATGAAGTGAGCTGGCAGGGGTGTTCCCTGCAGCTTTGTAAAGAAAGCCAGTCTGGGTGGCCTTGAATCG